CGTTAGTATGGTGAGCTCGCAGTGCTGCCGCCATGCGGGATGCTGGCGTGTGCGTTGTCGCCATCCGCGACATCGCTGTGTGCGTTGTCACCACGTGTGATGCAACCATGTGCATTGCAGCCGTGCACAATGCCGTCGTGTGCGATGCTACTGTGTGTGTTGCCACCATGCGCGTTGCCACCATGCGCGATGCCGCCGTGTGCGATACCGCCGTGTTCACAGCCACCGAGAGCGACGCTACCGAGCATGCGACAGTCTAGGGGAACTCTTTTTCTCTCTCATAATTGCTTGCATGTTTCTTGGGCACTATGTGGCACTTGCATGTGCCATGTGTTTGCCAAGTGTCACCTGCATGCCATCGCCCCCTACTTTTGCTTATTTAAACCCCACCTTCTCACCCCGTCATGAATTTTGCTCTCTCTCAACCACATCCTCTCTCTCTCCAACTTAGAGCTTTGAACTTGAACCCATTGGAGCTTGGCCTTTGAAGAGAAGCCTGTGTGGAGAATTTGAAGATACACTTAGTTCTGTAAGTTGATTTAGTTCCATGTTCCATACTTTTGTTTAATTAGCTTATAAAACTGTGAAATTTCAAGCATGATTATAGAGATGACTGTGAATATAGATATGATTGTGAACATGGATGTGATTGTAAATATGAAATATGTTTTTCCAGAACTATGACTCCTTTTGTATAATTGTTTGAGCATAAAAAATGTCTCTATTGACAGTGAAATTTTGTGGAAAAATGCATCTTTGAATCTATTTTAAGATGGAAAAGACCTCATGTGGCCACCTCTTTTGGTTTGGAAATTATCAGTCATTTTCTGAAGTATGCCATAAATGTGAAATGAATCACTAATCAAAATATGTCAGAATGAGCTCAAACCACTTCTAAATGAAAGATATATGAATCTATTTTGAAATTGGCTTTAGAAATATGATCAAATTCTCTGTGATTCGAAAGTTATGTTCGTTTTTCTACAAGGATGCCACGCTGGATTTTTTGCTGAATTTTTCAGAACTATCATGTATATTGTATGACATTGTTCACTAACCAAAATATGTCAGAATGAGCCCAAACCACTTCTAAATGAAAGACATATGAATATAGTTTGAAAATAATTTGGAAGCAAGATCAAATTCCTGGTGGTTTGAAAGTTATATACATGATTTCCTTCTAAGATATCATCCTATATTGTCTGTTGTGAAAGTCCAGAAGTTTCACTCAAGATCACTAACAGTTTGACAAGCTTTACGCCAATATTTAAGGGTATTTCCCTACTCGAAATTTGTGTTTTCATGAGTCTATATTGTTATAAAAGTAGTCACAAGTCCAAATTATGTTTGCATCCTATGACACACCTCCAAAGGTGGACCCTGTACATTGTGACAAAACCAGAAAAATAATTTGAAGATATCTTTTGAGCTTATGAGCCTGTTGGTCAGTTTATATGCATGACACGACATGATGATGTCTCTCAAACTAATAAGAATGATAATATAATTATATTCATGGCACGTCGATGTTTTATGTGAGCATGGAAATGTGTTGCTAATGAGAAATGTTTGCATGATAGTATGACATGCTCTGTTGTGTTATGAATGCATGATAATGAGATAAGCTCTGTGATGATATGGGAGTATGCAGTAAGAAATGCTCTGTTATGATATGTGTAAATGATTATATTACATGCTCTATAGTGATATGTGTGCATGGTTTTAAGACCTGCTAAGTGCTGTGTGATAAGTGCCATGTGATAAGACCCATGTGGTCAGCTATGCGATAAGTGCTATGTGATAAGACCTGAGTAGTCAGACACTGTGTTAACAGTCGAGATATTTTTCCCTTGAGTCCCTATGATAGGACAGGATTTAGGATGAGTGTGTGTTGGGAGGGTCACGTCCCCCCAAAATCAATGTAGGCACTATGCATTGGGTCATCCTTTGGTAGTGTAATGCTCTCTCGCCAGAAGGGCGTAAGGAGATGGTTGTATCTTGCAAGGCCATTGCCTATCAAAAGCCTCAAAAGCATGCAGGAGACTGTGTGTGTGTGTGTGAAACCATTATGAAATGGGTTACCCATTTGTCATTGTTTTCCCTCCTGAGTGATGATAGAAGTTCTAAGCAATGGAAGTAGCTTAGCTTGATGGATAGGGCTTTTACTTCGGGAATAGGGTAAACTAGGGAGCGAGTTATTATAAATTTGTGTCACTTGCCTAAATACGTCAATTCTGTTAAGACTTGTACAAATGAATGACTAATTGACCTCTGCTCTGTATCATATGTGATTGATCTGAATTGTCATTGTTTTACTATGATTTATGCACTACACACTGGTAGAGACAATTTTAAGACATGGCTCATGTTTTATAAGGATTACATAACACCCTGCATATTGTTATAAAAGAATGTTCATAGGTAGGATGGCATGACAACTTGATCTATCTACTGGGCTTGACAACTCACTCTGTCATCCTTCATCTATGTAGAGTGATAGCCACGGGTGGGGGACAAGCGGTTTGGCGATCGTGGCTGACAGTTGGAGCTCCGTGCTTTTGTGGAAGTTTTTTATTTCAATTGTATATTTTGGATGGCAATAGCCATATAGTTCTCGTCTATTTTTGAATTCATGTAAATGATTTTGGGCCTTTGGAGCCTTCAACATATTTGTAATACTTTTGGATCT